CACTGCTAAATTAGGGACGGCTAGCGCAGATAGCCCTTGTGTAGCTTTGCGCGAAATTCAAAAAACAAACAAACTTTTGCAGCATACAACTTTGTCTGAAAAAAAATGTAAGAGAAATGAGTTATTTCCCTACAGAAAGCTTCTCTTATACGAATATTCCCAAATAGTGATTATAAGAAAAACTTTTGATCATTCGTAAGAGGCTCAAAAACTTCCAATTTTCTATCTACACAAAATAATAGAACTTTATGAAACTCCTTTTATAACTTTCATTTAGTGTTTTATGAGCATATGGGGTTGTGGAAAAACAACAGTAAAACCTTTTTATATTTATTTTTTGGTTAAAAAATGCATAAGATTATGAAGGCCAAAGTGTCAAACTTGTTAGGTATATAGTTATCTAGAGGTTTAAAAGCACGTATGGTTAAGAGTGTTAAACTGTAAAACATATTTTGATTTAACCAATGCTTTAAAAACATAAAGAATTACAATGGTTGGTTAAATTATAAACCTCCTTTTATTATTTAGTATTTAACGAATTGTTTAAAACATATGAGTTATAAACATTAATCAGTAAAACTTCCCATGCATTTTGGTCTGAAGGAGCTCAGCAGATACTGCACAGGGTTTAAGGTTTGAGGACTGAGGTCGATCAACATACTTCGAACTTCACGATGTTGGATCCTTATAAAGGTAACTATCAATCCAATTATTACGTTCAAAGACCCGAACAAAGCCGTAGTGACTGCAGTGCTGCGAGCTGACCAATGGTACAAAATTAGGAACGCCCACATCTAAATTCTACGGTTCTCTTATTTGGCATTTTACCTCACTAGCTGATCAGTAATACAAAATTAAGAACAACCACATCTAAACCCTAGGGTTCTCTGACTTTGCCGTTTACCTCATTAGCTAGTTAGTGGTAAAAATCAAGAAATAATACATCTAAACTAAACCCTGGTGTTCTCTGACTTGACTGTTTACTTCACTAGCTGAACAGTGGTAGAAAACTGGGAACAAACACATGTAAAACCTAGAGTTCTCTGACTCGGCCATTTACCTCACTAGATAATCACTGGTACGAAATTAGAAACAACAAAACACTCATCTAAACCTTATTTTTATCTGACCTGGCATTTTACCTCACAAGTTGACCAGTGATACAAAATTAGGAAATACCTCATCTAAGGCCTAGGGTTCTCTGACTTCGCGGTTTACCGCATTATATGATCAGTAGTAGACAATTAGAAAAACTAACTATAGACCCTAAGGTTCTCTGAGTTGGCCGTTTACCTCAATAGCTGACCAATGGTAGAAAATTAGGAACGACCACATGTAAATACTTAGGTTCTCTGACTTAGCCGTTTACTTCACTAGTTGACCAGTGGTACAAAATGGGAATATACCACATCTAAACCATGTGGTTCTCTGAATTGGCTGTTTACCTCAGTACTTGACCAGTAATACAAAATTAGCAACAACAACAACAAGCTCTACGGTTCTCTGACTTGACCGTTTACCTCATCAGCTTATAAGTAGTAGATAATTAGACCGTTTACCTCAATAGCTGATCAGTGGTAAAAAATTAGGAACGAATACATCTAAACGCTAGGGTTCTCTGATTAAACCCTCATTAGCTGACCTCTAGTAATTGAAAACGACTACATCTAAGCCTTAGGGTTCTCTGACTTGGCCGTTTACCTCACTACCTGACTAGTGGTAGAAAATTAGGAACGACTACATATAAACTCTAGGGTTCACTGACTTGGCATTTTACCTCACTAGCTGACCAGTGTTACAAAATTAGGAAATACCTCATCTAAGCCCTATGGTTTTCTGAGTTGGCCGTTTGTCTCAGTAGCTGACCAATACTAGAAAATTGGAAAAACCACATCTAAACCTTAGGGTACTCTGATTTGGCCGTTCACATAATTAGTTCACCAGTTGAAGAAAATTAGGAAAGATCACCTCTAAACGTTAGGGTTCTCTAACTTGATCGTTTACCCCACCCACACAAAAGTACATTTCAGACTGATGTTTTTGCTCGTAAGTTTAACTGTAAAAGTTCGACTTTTATATTTATCTGGCGGCTCTGAATCCCACATTTTTATCTGATTTTGGTAATGTTTAGTTTAAACAAATTTTAACCGCAATATTTATTTATTACCTAACCCTAGTTAATACTACTATATATAGTCGTAGTATTTTGTGTAACTTGTGTATTTTGTGTAATCATAAATTTGCGTTACCAACAACAGTGTATAATGCTAAGAAATAATAAGTTGAATTTACGTTTGTTTTCTAAAAATATGAAATATTGGCAATAACTAAAATGGGTGTTTAGAGAGAAATATAACTTTTTTGTTTATGCGTTGCGTATCAGTAATTTACTCGCGATGAACGATCGTGTTGACATTTTCCTGACGCGCCCGCTGTTAGTGACACCAAATGTTATGTTTTTTCACAATAGACGGCGCGCAACGTAATTAAAACATGGCAGCTGCGAGTGACGCTGGTTTACCGTCCAAGTCCACCATAAATGTGGAACGCTAAACCACGTCATCGACGAAATTTATTCGCGCTCTTTGCACTAAAGGTCCTGTCATCAAAATGGAAGTTGTTTATGGTAATTAGTTAACGGTTGTCGTATAACAACAGACTTTGAAAATTCAGATGACAATTCTATTGCATCGTCCCTATAGTGTTGAACTAATACCCTTCCATTTTTTCTTTTGTCCCTCTGAAGAGAGACTTGTGTTGACGATACTACCTGATACTTAATGATCTTAACACAGCTGTACGCATTGGGTTCATATATTTTAAGTTTACTGAATCATTATGAAGTTCATGGGATGATCGAAGAAAAACTGGGACGATGCTGAGACATGATGTTTGGTTGTCCATATTTACAGCATCACTATAGTGCGTTTGTTCATTTTATTTGTATGTTTGGAACAATGATAAATGTTGATCGCATTTTTGTAAGTTTCGAGTAATAATCCATGGTACAAATAATGTATATCAGACATACTTCACGTTTATGTTAACAATAATCAGATAACATGTATATAAAGAAGCACAAAATGATAAAAGCATATATTCCGGCGTTTCGAGGCATTAATTACAAATAATGTATATCAGACATACTTCACGTTTATGTTAACAATAATCAGATAACATGTATATAAAGAAGCACAAAATGATAAAAGTATATATTACGGCGTTTCGAGGCATTAATTACAAATATTAACTGTAGCTCGTTATATATTTCACAGAGTATTGTCTAAATAAACATAAAGTAAATCTATATTATAGCTATGGTAATCCTGAAATTGTACTTTATTTCTATTTCCAAACATACATAATATGATCAAATATGTGTAGAATAAGTACAAACAAGTTTGAATATTATTTAATAAAATATCGCTATTAGTTTCACTTTCCGAGAAAACCAACTTCATATGGCGGAGTACAATACTTAATATATTGTTAAGTTGAAAGACAATACCTAATCTATTGTTAAGTTGAAGTACAATACTTAATCTATTGTTAAGTTGAAGTACAATACTTAATCTATTGTTAACTATGAACACAGCATAATCTCAGTTTCACTGCTTCAGAAAACTTACTTCAGGGGATAGATTACATAAAATACGTAACACAACTTCCCGAAATTATGTTAATAAATTATGAATCAGTAACACAAATTCTAAACATCCCGTATTCAGAGTTATCTATAAATAATTGTTCGTCAGTTTACATGATTTAAAAGTAGCTTTCAAAATAGATATCTTGCCATTTTTATAAAATCAATAAGAATATAAAATGTGTGTCTTTATCAAATGATAATAGCCCCCAAAAAATTGCAAATTTATTGGATTTTTAGCTTAGAAATGAAAGTTCGAAGTACATTTCTAGTTATCTCAGCTATTGATGATGGAAAACAACATCTGATGCGGTTTATAAGTCTTCCACTTGGAGATTATGGCTAAATTATGTTTCATTATAGATTCAGTTTAACACAATTTTATTATTAAATTGTGTTTGAAACTAACCAGCTAATCATAGGTTTAAAGATGGTAAGATTAAATATATTAAGCTCT